GGTGAGACTCATTTGTGTTGTCTACCTTTTGTTTGCTTTTTTGGGGAAAGAACATAGGCAAGTATATCGCGATATACATTGCACCCGTAGCAGATAATTGTTAGACACACCAGGTAAGAAGTGAGCGCCACTCCTTGTATTTCTGTTTTATTAGATAGTTTAGTTAGGGTGCCGGATGCACCGAAGATTTCGGTTTATTTTCTACATTTTACTTTGGTTAGATTAGTTTAGATTAAGGAGTGTTTTGTTATCTTGCGTTCTTTCTTTTGGCGCCACTTTTGTTCTTTTCCTATTTATTGTTTGTTTATTCACCCTATCATTTATTGTATATAGCACACATTATTATTTGACTGGATTCAGTGGCTTCGGCTTATGGAAATAAATTCCAGTTATTTTCTCTTCAAAATGAGTCTGACATGTGTTTTTCCACCACACGCCACTTCCAGCAGTACACTCAATATATAAATGTTGCGGTACCAGCCCTAGACCCACAACGGTTCGTAACAGAGGCGATTAACTGGTGTCCTGTGACGCGCTCAATGATGGACCGTAACGTAGAACACATCCCCAGTGCCATGAGGCTGTTCATAAAGGATGCATCTGTTAAAGTGGAATGAGAAATAACACAAGTTAATAAGACGCAAGTTGGACCTCTTTTAACTTGAGAGCAGCATTTTTAGAATGCTGTTTCATTTGCGAAACACAGGTGCAACAGCAAAACAAGTTCGTCAAGCACAAAAAGCTTTAATGTACTAGGCTACTAGTGTATGTTTGAGATGTCATGTTTTAATGAAGGTTGACAGGCTAAAAGGTGCTGTTATTATCTTTGTTTTTACAAAAAAATTACTGCTAATAATATCATTATCCACGTGGAGACATTTCCCTGCATGTTTATGGAATACCAGGACACGACACACTCACACGGAGCCTTCAAGGGAGCGCTGCATGGAAGGCGCTCCCCGCCCCCTACCGCGTTTCAGCCAATCGCAACAATGGTGCTCGCATTCAACTTTGAGAACCAACGAGCGATCGATCTTGACTCCACTCCACTTGGTAGGGTAAGTTGCATAGAGCAATATTCTAAGATCTGAATTCATAATGAAATGTTTTATTATTAAAAAAAATGACTATGCTTTGAAATATAGCCAACACTAGCTGCTAGGGATTTTCTTTGCCGCCGGCCGGACACGCTCAGCTATCTAGCTAACGGTAAACAGATTGGCAATGGTAGATTTTGCAGCGACTGGCTGAAACGCGGCAGGGGGCGGGGAGCGCCTTCCATGCAGCGCTGCCTTGAAGGATCCGTTGGGGGCTTAAAACACCGACGGGCCATAAGCTCGGGCATACAAAAACAGACACAGACACACACACACACACTTGTCCACTATCTTTGTGGGGACTCTCCATAGACGTAATGGTTTTTATACTGTACAAACTGTATATTCTGTCTCCTTACACTAAGCCGACCCCTAAACTACCCATCACACAACTTTCTGCATTTTTACATTTTCGAAAAAACTTATTTTGTATGATTCATAAGCTTGTGTACCTCAATTTAGGTCCTCACGGTGACACGAGTCCCCATGAGTCTGTGTGCATTCGGGTTAAAGTCCCCACCAGGATAGAAAAACATGTACACACTCTCACACACTGCATAGACACTTCATTATTTAATCACACTGGCTTTACAGCAGGTTGTGTTGGCTGTAGTCAGATGAATTGAGCTGGGGGTTTTTTTTTGGGGGGGGGGGTTATGTACCAGTGGTCACTCTGCTACATTTATGTAAACTAGGCATGTTTAACAAGATCTTTAAATTTTCATCTTTAATATGAATTAGTTTGTCTGAATTTTTCATAGTTTTATCTTGTATACTTTTAAGTTCCATTTATTTGGTGCCTTGTTCAATCTCAAACCCTTATTTTATTTTTATTATTAAGATGTCTGCACAAGAGTTAACTGTAATCTGGGCAAACATTAAACTTTACTGAAATTAAGCGTCTCGCTTTGGTCTACACTGGAAGTGTTCTGTTTGCTCTGCTAAACTATAATAACTAAAACTGAAACTAAATGAATAACCTAGCTAGGATGGACTCTATCCGTGCAGGAGACAACTGTGCCCACATCGTAATCAAGTCACCACCCCCAGGAACGTAGTCCTCTAGGCAGATGCCAACACGCTTTTATTTGTGTTGAGTCTCAACCCCAAGCTCTGGATGTGGCCAAGGACGACATATCAATGCCGAATTGCCAGCTCCTGCGACTGGGCCAGAATAAGCCAGTCGATGATGTAATTTAGCACCCTTGAAGCCTCAGTGGAGCTAGAGCTGCATCCATGCATTTGGTGAAGGTGCGAGGGGAGAAAGCTAGGCCGAACGGAAGAACCCGATATTGGAACGCTTCAGCCCCAAAAGCGAACCTCAGGAACCTCCTGTGAGATGGAAGGAAGGATATGTGGGAGTATGCGTCCATCAGATCTATTGTGACAAACCAATCCTCGGATTTGATCTGACTCACATTGGTGGGAATAGTGAGCATCTTGAACCTGAATCTCCTCAGAGACCGATTCAAGTGCCTTAGATCTAAAATTGGACGCAACCTCCCATCCTTCTTGGGAACTATGAAGTAGCGGCTGTAAAACCCGGACTCCCTGTCTGGCAGAATAACACTTTCTATGGCCTCCTTTACCAGCAGGGAGTCAACTTCCTGTTCGAATACCTGACCCTGCTCTGGGTCGACTGCAGTCCATACCACCCCGCTGAATCTCGGTGGGCGGAAATTGAACTGCAGTCTGTAACCCATCTATAGTCAACCCAGTCATCTCCAATATCCCTGCCTTCGGTGCTGAGCACATCCACTTCCTCGGAAGCAGACAGCTCAAGCATCGGGCTCTCCAATCGTGCAGAAGAAGCCGTTGGGCGGGACCATCGTCACTAAAGATGGCCAAGCGGGAACGCAGCACTTGATTGGAAGAGCTGCCTGAGCGTGCTGCGCTCCCAAACAGTGTGCACACAATTGGTGTGTGTCCCCACCCATAATGAATCTGGGGCAGGGATGCACACACCTCTTGTACTGATAGCTCGCCATGATATATTTATACATATATATATATATATATATATACACTCACCGGCCACTTTATTAGGTACACCTGTCCAACTGCTCGTTAACACTTAATTTCTAAGCAGCCAATCACATGGCGGCAACTCAGTGCATTTAGGCATGTAGACATGGTCAAGACAATCTCCTGCAGTTCAAACCGAGCATCAGTATGGGGAAGAAAGGTGATTTGAGTGACTTTGAACGTGGCATGATTGTTGGTGCCAGAAGGGCTGGTCTGAGTATTTCAGAAACTGCTAATCTACTGGGATTTTCACGCACAACCATCTCTAGGGTTTACAGAGAATGGTCCGAAAAAGAAAAAACATCCAGTGAGCGGCAGTTCTGTGGGCGGAAATGCCTTGTTGATGCCAGAGGTCAGAGGAGAATGGCCAGACTGGTTCGAGCTGATAGAAGGGCAACAGTGACTGAAATAACCACTCGTTACAACCGAGGTATGCAGCAAAGCATTTGTGAAGCCACAACACGCACAACCTTGAGGCGGATGGGCTACAACAGCAGAAGACTCCACCGGGTACCACTCATCTCCACTACAAATAGGAAAAAGAGGCTACAATTTGCAAGAGCTCACCAAAATTGAACAGTTGAAGACTGGAAAAATGTTGCCTGGTCTGATGAGTCTCGATTTCTGTTGAGACATTCAGATGTTAGAGTCAGAATTTGGCGTAAACAGAATGAGAACATGGAACCATCATGCCTTGTTACCACTGTGCAGGCTGGTGGTGGTGGTGTAATGGTGTGGGGGATGTTTTCCTGGCACACTTTAGGCCCCTTAGTGCCAATTGGGCATCGTTTAAATGCCACGGCCTACCTGAGCATTGTTTCTGACCATGTCCATCCCTTTATGGCCACCATGTACCCATCCTCTGATGGCTACTTCCACCATGTCACAAAGCTCTAATCATTTCAAATTGGTTTCTTGAACATGACAATGAGTTCACTGTACTAAAATGGCCTCCACAGTCACCAGATCTCAACCCAATAGAGCATCTTTGGGATGTGGTGGAACGGGAGATTCGCATCATGGATGTGCAGCCGACAAATCTGCGGCAACTGTGTGATGCCATCATGTCAATATGGACCAAACTCCCTGAGGAATGCTTCCAGCACCTTGTTGAATCTATGCCACGAAGAATTGAGGCAGTTCTGAAGGCAAAAGGGGGTCCAACCCGTTACTAGCATGGGGTACCTAATAAAGTGGCCGGTGAGTGTATATGATATAGTGGACAGACAACACCAAATATGACATACGACAACAGAGAGCACTTACTGAAGAACAGAAAGCTAACTCTGTTGTGTGCCGGCGTCCATTTGTAGCTTCCGTGTATGCCGTCACACATTACGTCATGACGCAACACGAATCACGATTGGCTTAGTTTCATTTATACTTCAGAGGTGCTACGCTGAGGGGCATTCCCCAAAGTGTTGTTCCGACGCAGTGCTATTCCCACTCGAAAGGGAACCTGTTTTTTATTTTTCATTCTGGTTTTAAAGTTCTGAGGTCTTGTTACCAAAAGATAACTTGTTAGAGCTAAATGAATGTTTTGATGAACAAACAGCATTTTTGAGAGTGCCACTGAGCCATAGTGTTTGCACTTTTAGAGGTTAATCAACCCATGCATTGCTTACTTAAAGTTGTTTCTGCTAATTCAGCAGATTTTTAAAAAGAAAGACAAAATAAATATCTAGAGTCTCTTAATATCTCAACTGACCATGTGTCAACATGTGTCCAAGTCTATCATTATCTCTTAAAATATACCTTTCAACAGAAGAATAAAAATATACGCACCGAAGACACATACTGGATGTCCCTGCTGAGTTTGGTCTCCCTGGGAAAGTCCACTAGATCCAGAAAGTTGTCAACCACCACCTGGCCAATAATATCGTGGCGTGAAAACCGATCAAAATCGTAGACACTGAAGTGCAGCTTCCTTGTGGGCAGGTCCGCATATGCCACAGGAAAGAGGAAGACCTCATCAAACACAGGGTTTAAAGTCTTACGATGCACCTTGGTCTGGTGCTTGGTTTTGCGGTCTGGGAGAAGGTAGATTTTTACATATGGGTCAGAGGTTCCGGAGAAGTCCTTGGCAGGGAGGTCTTGGGCTCTGTGGATCTTGACAATGAGCTGCTCCAGGTCACAGTCATATTTAAGAATAAAATGGAGGCGTCCACAGCTGCCCACATGACTGCTTCGGTTGTCCTCGCCATCTAGGGATCGTTGTTTGTAGAGTTCTGGTTTTAGCTGGCCCAGACTCATTCCAGTCAGAGAGTCCTGCCTCTGGAACTGGGTTACTGTGAAGTCAGGGTTAGACTGGTTCATCTGACGCCGAATTGAACTTTGCCTGTTGACAAATAGTAGGAGTTAAAGACAATTTACTGGATGTGAGGCTTACTTGGTTACCCAAATAAATAAATGGGATGTATCATACTAAAGAAATACTTTTTATCCAGACCTTACATCATCATAAACAATGATAATACATCATCATAAACAAATTCAAAACCAATAGTCAGTCTAACAAATAAATATGCCAAGTTAAATGCCAAGTTAGTGAGTCAATAATCTATTGACAGACCAGAAGCCAGAATCTGTTTTACGACAAGTGTTACTTTATCACGGTAAAAGGTTGAATGTCTCGGTTATGTATGTAACCCTCATTCCCTGAAGGAGGGAACAGAGACGTTACGTTGGAAGACCGACGAATAGGAATCTCGCTAGAGAGGCCAATCTACTTCGAGTGTAACTAAAACGAGCCAATGTACAGTACATTGGCATGAAATAATTGCATCAGCTGCGCTGCATCGTGACACGTGTATATAAAAAACAGCAGGTGCAGCACATTCTTCAGGTTTTCGCTGAGGAGCCGAGCCGGTGACCTGGTTGCCCCAGCGGGGCACAGCAGGTGTGGGGACGGGACGTAACGTTCGTAGCCCCCTTAAGGAACCTCACGACCAGGTCATGCTTCCCTCGTGCTTTCTGGAGAGGCATATTGGTCTACCTGAGCGGCCCTGAAATGACGCCAAATCAGCTGGATCACCTGGGGATGGAGACACCACTCTTCCGGGAGGGCAGCCAGTGAAGCTTGTCAGCCACACGGTTGAGCAGCCCGGGGACATGAATGATCTGAAGCGACCTCAGATGCTTCTTTAGAAGAGGAGATGGCCGCATGCGACGGGAGACCACCTTGTCGGTTGATGTACGCAACGGACGCAGTGTTGTCCGTGTGGACAAGCACATCTTTGCCCTGTAGCGGCCTCTTTAGACGGCTCAGAGCAAGACGTACTGTAAGCAACTCGAGGCAATTGTGCCAATGCAGATGGGGACCCGTCCAAACCCCAGCAACTGCATGGCCATTGTACGTGGCCCCCCAGCCGGTGGAGGGTTCAAGTCCGGAAGGAAGGCTCTTGTTCTGAGAATGCCGGCGAGCAGACTGGGGTTCCTCCGGGGCAGAATGCCTGATAGCCTCAGTCTGCTTCTGTACAGCCGAGAACTGCTGGGCATAGTTCTCGACCGTGTTGCAGAAGAGGCCAGTCTGGGACATGGGGGAATTAAGGCAAGACACGGCAGGTGAAAACATTGTTTTTTCATGCAGTGGTCAATTTTGAGATTTTGGGCCAGTTTGCTCCCTTAACATGTAAGTTTTCATAACAAAATAAAAAATATGTCAACATTACACATTAAGGTGGTTATTTCATTATAGTTTGTCAACTTGCGCCTTTAGATTTCTACCGGAAATCACCAAAAGTTAGCATTCTAACGCGAGCTCACGTGGCGTCTCCATTCACAGAAACACGTCATGCCTGTAATCATTATAAAGCTCTCAGTCTCCTACACAGTGCTGTATAATCCAAATATGGGCATTTCCTTTGTAGAAATAACCAACCGTGAAAGTTTGCCGGGAAATCTTTAGCCGAAAACCACATCTGATTGGTCAATGTGAATTTCCGACTATGTGATTGGTTTTCTGCGCCAAAATGTAAGCACAGTCAAAAAGGTGAAAAGACACTGACAGGAGATCGAAGAGGGGCCTACATATGGTGCAGGCATGGACATTTAGGCTGTAAAAAGACAGGGAGCTGTTTATTAGATTCAATTAGTTATAGATGGACATACAACAACATCGTTTGCAGTTTTTGTGGCTGTTGTTATGTGTGTTTGTTAAGGTAGTTCTATTCAGCTTAAGGCTATTGCTCTATTAATAATTTATTAATTTATTAATTTCCATGTGTTTTAAATATTATACACTACTGATATTAATGAACTGAATATATATTTTGTTTGTAGATTGGGGGTTTCAATAGAAATGTATGAAATTATACAATATAAAACTTTAAAGGCTGTTTTCTCAAAATGAGTTTTTTCTCACACTCAGAGTCAGATATATCCACTTCAGTAGCACCTTCAAGCACCAACTTTTCCATTATTATACTTAACTATATTCTGAAGGCTTTTACAGAGGGATTTGTTGATATATCATTCCTATCCTGAGTTATAGGTCCTTTTACTCCAAAGAACATGGCGAAAATTGATTTTTTTTAAGGCTTTTGTCTGTATTCTCTAATTTCCTAAAGCGCAAAATAAGATATCCAGAATCCACTCTGTAAAAGACCTTTCATCTAATGTCAACACATAGAACCAATAATTTTAACCTGGTCCTTTCCAACTTCCAGATTTTTTGGGGGGAAATGTATGCAAATGAGCGTATATTTAAGTATATAAGGCCTCTTTTGCATATTAAAACATTAATTTACACAAAACTTGTCATACATTTTTTTCTTATGTTTATGCCAGTAATAAACTGGAGAAGTTTCACAGTGATATCTTCTAATTTAAAAAATTTCCCTATTCACCTGTAGTGTCTCGCCTTAAGAAACCTGACTTTGTCGGTACCCCTTATGTCAGCCAGGCACAGCCAGACATGCCGTTCCTGGACCACTAGTGTGGACACCGCACGACCCAGAGCCCACACAGCAACCTTCATCGCTGGAAGCGCAAGGTCCGTCGCATTACAAAGTTCTTGTAGAACATCTGGATCATGACCACCCTCGTGCAGGTCTTTCAGTGCCTTAGCTTGATGGACTTGCAACAATGCTATAGTGTGTATGGCAAAGGCGGCTTCCCCACAGGCCTGATAAGCCTCGCCGGTTAGACCAGACGAGTGCTCACAGGCCCGAGAAGGGAGACACGGATTCCCTGTGAGGTGGAGTAAGGGCACAGTTGCATAGAAACGGCCTGTTCCAAAGGGGAAATCAACGTGTCAAGGGTGATGAGGGGGGAAGAACTACTTTCGGCAGTAAAAGGTGCCGTCCGCGACTTCGTGAGCTCTTCATGCACCTCCGGAAAGAAAGGCACCAGGGCGAGAACCAGCCCAAGCCGTCCTGAGAAACCAAACGTCCAGCCTCGAGGGATTCCACATGAGCCCGATCCTCTCGGCGGCCCGGGAAAGCATAGCCGTCAGTTCTGGGTCTAACTCGGACAATGCTATGGTTGCTGAAGGAGGCAGCACAGCCAAAACGTCATTCCCAAAAAAAGTCAGGCTCACCCTCCGATGTAGCGATTGACATTCGGTCATCGGGGGGATCCCCAAAGGATACGACTGGTACACACTTTTGACATGGTCCAGCCCGTTCCTGAGGGACCTCCAGTTCCGTTCCTTCTTCCAGATGAGATGCTTCTTCAGAGATGACTTGTTGTCTTAGAAACGCCGCTTTGTAGAGAGCAGAAGACATCACCCACTCGGCTCCGAAGCGAAAAGCTCAGGAAAAGCGAAAAGCTCACGTTGCTTCTCATTATATATGCGTGCCGGGATGTAGCGCAGCTGATGCAATTATCGCATGCCAATGTGCATTGGCTCGTTTTAGGTACACTCGAAGTAGATTGGCCTCTCTAGCGAGATTCCTGTAACGTCGAGATTGACCGACTGAAAGGGAACTCTGCTTCACTGAGTTTCAAAATTACCTTTACACATGGCCATATTCCCTTTATTCCATAAAACACATTTTTGGTGATGAGGAAGGGAGGAGATGGCTGGATGACAGGATTTTGTTTGAATAAGAAATTAATGTATGAAATCCAAATTTTATTATATATATATATATATATATATATATATATATATATATATATATTAGGGGTGGCACGGTTCACAAAACCCACGGTTCGGTTTGTATCACGGTTTTAGGGTCACGGTTTTCGGTTCTGTACGGTTCTTGTTGTTATTTTTTCTTTTAATCTTTAACACTCCAGAAATGTACTTCAGCATATGATATATAGCTTAATTATCCACAATTTAGGATACAGTATTAACAAAAATGTTATATCATGCAATCATGCACAAACTGAATTTGACTTGACTTTAAGCACATTATTGGGACCATCTCCGAGGAAAGCTAGGTGAGATTTTGATACACCAAGAGAGAAGACATTGATGACATGCTTTTCGTTTATTTGGCAAAAAAAGTAGAATGTGTATCACTATCTCTACAGGAACTTATGTGCATTTTTAGCACACAAAGATTGAAATTAACTTGCATTTATCAAACTGCCAACTTAAGTGTAGCTCTTACAAAAAATGTATCTTTTAAAAGAAAAAGAGAGGAACTCTTAAAACTCTGTCTTTTAAATAAGTCAAAATACATGAAACATAATTGCCTATAATTAGGCTATAGCAATAGCAAAGGCCATAATCATAAAGTGAAACATAAGTTCAACCTCAACACAAAAACAGTATCAACAATGCTTCTATTCCCTGAGAGTGAGGATACATTTTTTTTTCACTTGAAATTAAAGTGCAGTATTTGGAAACATATGACTGGAGTTCTTATCTAAACTTAAAGTGCCACTGTAGCTGCTATATATTTAAATATCATAACATGAAATCCAAAATGTTCCCACACACCGGACTTAATACGACACTGGCGCATCCTCCAACTCCGGTTAGCCTTCCGGTTATCTCTCCCACTTGCCACTTCTCCGCGTGACGTGACCTGCAGCACTCCATACTTCACTTTTACTGGCGTGTTCGAGTTGAACCGGCGCTGCACAGAGCGATCGGTGAATGACATCAAAGAACCGCGAGAGTGATTGAAAAGCATACGGAGCCGTCGCGCTCGCGGTACTTTGATGTCATTCACCGATCGCACTGTGCAGCACCGGTTCAACTCGAACAAGCCTCGTATGTATGTCCACACACATCTTATTTCGCGCGAAAAGGAAACACGTCTGAGGTCACATACGGGCACGAGGCTACATTGCGCATGCGTCCAACCGTGAGACACACACGCTCCGAACCGAGACAAGCGAACCGAATGGTTCGGATGTTTTTTCATGTACCGTGCCACCCCTAATATATATATATGTGTGTGTGATGCGATCTGGGAAAACCCGTCGGATGTCGCGGAGGTACGTTTTCAGTAAGGTCTAAAAATAGGTGGTTCGATCGTTCATTAAATTATTATTCTATAACATATTGGGCCCTATCTTACACCCGGTGCAATGCAGCACCAAGCGCAACGCAAGTGTTTTTTTGCTAGTTTCAGTCTAACGCAGTTATCATTTTCACATCCTGTGCCACGTTGTTTAAATAGCAAATGCATTTGCGCCCATTTGTGCGTCCATGGGCGTGCTGGTCTGAAAACGAGGTGTGTTCAGGTGCATTGTTGGCGCGTTGCTATTTTGAGGCAACAGAAATAGACTAGAATTTTTTTTTTTTTTATTTAAAGAGTGTGTTAGTAATGTGCGCCTATAGGCGAGTCCACAACGCTCGAGCACTTTGCATATTAAACACACAGGGACGCACAGCAGCACACAAACATGCCAAATATTTCAAATTAAAGGATTACAATGTAAAAGATTATTATTGTGTACATAAAGATATGGTGGAATCCGTATCAGCTCTCCTTCTCTTAACACTACAAAGACAGTTCACCTATCAAAATAAACCACATAACATCTAGAATAAAGGTATATCAATTCGCATTTCCCGCCAGTCCTGCGTAAAGTACAACGGCACGCAAGGTTTTTTTGTTTGTTTGTTTTTTCAACGTTATCGTGAGATGCAGAGCGGAGCACAAGAGATCAACGGAGTCTGAAGTAGCTGCTTGCTTAAAAGATCTTGCTTGCCTCTCAATCGTCCAATTTCAAAACGGTTTTTACAGAATGAATTTAGAGTTTGTAAGCTTTTGAATGATACTTAATCTATGATGATTACTAAAATATGTGATATGAAAAAAAGGCAATAAAAAAGCTGTGACGTAGTTAATCTGGTTTATTTTTTTTTATTTTTTTTTGGCTACTAGAAGTTCTGAATGGCCGGTAACTTAAAAATGTAGTAGCCAAATTGGCCGGTGAGTGGAAAAGTTCATTTCAAACCCTGATCATGACACTGTGCAAGTGAGCAATGTTTTTATTTAAACGAAGAAGATAGTCATATTCAAGCATTTAGATGCTTAGTTTTTTTTTCCGATTGATTGATTATTTCAGATCTACACCAAAACTTCTACAATTCATTCGGTTTAACCTTAATCAGATCGATTGAGGTGTTTACATGAAGGATTTTCAGTCTGACTGAGGTATCAATCTGATTACTAACTAATTATGTGGGTCATGTAAACATAGTGTGGCTTAATCTTACAAAATCTCATCAAAAGCAGTATGATTGATTCAAGAGACTTGATACTTCCTTATTCAGGAATGCTCTTGTTATTTTATGCTGTAATTTTAAAATGTCCAAGAAAACACTGCAAGCTGATGGGCCTGCCTTAAAATTTTAAAGTGAAAACTGCATCTTTATGAGGTCAGTGTCCTCGATTGTAGAGACACTTAGTGATAAACTCTGATTAGAGACCAAATTGACCTTTCAGCCAGTTCTATTGTTGAGAGACTGATGTTTTTACCAGAATCCATTGAAGTAATTATAGAAGGATGACTTACCTGACACAGGTTGAGGAGGGATCCGTGATTTGCCTCTGCATGCGTGTGTTGCCATGGACACCATTTTCTTGAGTCTTAGACTCCACCTCCAGCGGAATATCAGGTGAAGTGTGGCTTATTTTGAGGGCTGCCTCAGGCACTGGCACTGCAGGAGGAGATCCTGGAACCGCCGGAGAGACTGGAGTGGGCGGCACTGTTGTCTCTTTTACCACTGAACATCGGGCATTATTCCGGCGGTCGAGGGTGGCGTCCACCTCTGGACGCTGGGGTTGAAGGGGTGGAGGAGGAGGATAAGGAGGGTCTGGATGTCCCTCCTTGGTGCTTGGAGAGAGGCTTCGCTCGCGCCATGGAATCCAGCATAATTTCCATGAAACAAAGAGAGAGACGCCAAACAGGGCCAAGCCACAAGCGGTCACCACCAATGACAGCAGGCTAATGGATATGTCTACAAAGAAAGAATTGAGTGCATACAAAAAGAGGGTGAGACAGAAATATAGGCCACATACATATGTTAATTTTACACAAATGCTTTCTAGAAACATGATGTATGGGATACTTAGACTTCAGGGCTGTTGGGAGCACAAGTTGTTCAGGTCCAAATAAGACTGCTTTAATAACTAGTATGTCAGTTCTGTACATGCAGTTCAGATTTAATACAAATTTGTTTGTCACTACCAACACTTTTCAATAATTAATTTGGTTAAATAATGCAGTTGTCACTGTTGTAAGAAAGTCTATGTGTACACAAAGGAATGAACATAATTTTCTGCATTGTGTAAGTGGCAAGTGGAATTCCATCAAAAATGCAACAATGCCATTTAATAGAAATCAAATTATATAATACATATCACGCTTGGTGCATTTCAATATTCAATAAATAAAACTGTAAATATTATCACAAAGCATTTTCACAGTATTGGTTTTGGATTTTTAATCTATATGAATCTCTGTGAATTCTTTGAACGACTCATAGAGTCAACAGGCTTCAATGGGAGTCTATAGCAGATACCAGTAACACTGATTTCAATAGATCAGAGATTACGGTTCATTGGAAATGTGATTTAAACACATAGGTAGAGCTTAGGAGAAACATTGAATTCACAAAAACAATCTTAGGATCATATATATTGAAGTATATCATAAAAAAAAAAAACAGCAAATTGGCTCCATTCGTTTCACAGCCATTCAGTCTGAAGATGTTTGAGCAGCTGCTGAAAATTTAAAGAATAATTTAATGGACCTCAAGTTAGAGGCTACATGTCTCCAGTCATTTACTATCTTTTCCTCAAACCTCTCATATAGACACTACAGTAGAATATTATTTAAAACATGTGGCACCTGCTTTACTTTGATTTTCAGTTTGTACAGTTTCCTTGTTCCGATTTTCAAAAAAAAGCTCCCTAGATTCCTACATTAAACTAGCCCTATTCAGCACACTGTATTCCCTAGACACCTAACTGAATGCCTATTCTAAGCCACTGCCATTTAAAACATTGTATATTGTCACTGTGATGATTAGCCTTAACCACCAGTGACTCTAATGAAATCCATGAACTTTAATTAAAATCAGGAACTTAAGTTAATTAGCAGTGAGCAGTAAAAAATGGAACCCGCACACAGTTCATTTAACCCCTTAAGTGTCACGGGCCCACCGGTGGGCCCAAATCCTTTACATTTTTAAAACAGTAATATCCTATACTAAACCTAAACTAATCTTGACAAACTATATATCATTTGAAAGCTTACAATCTCTAGTTTCCATATTTGGTGATTGATTTTCAAAATAAATTACAGAGGAGCCGTAATTTATCAATTTGCAACAATAATATTTTCATACTCTTAGACCTTTATTTTGAAATAGTGATGAACATGAAAAATCATGAAAGAAGGGTAGAAACCTCAGTTTGTTTTCATTCCAAGAGTTCAAAAGATAGCATCCATTCAATTATTTTAAAAAAAAAGGTCTGAATTTTTTTTTTTATATAAAGAAAAAAATTATATGATGTGGCAGGAAGCTAAAACGCACATGCGTGTTCTTTTTATGTTTCTTAGAGGTTGAAATCATATCAAAATCTGCCAAACTTCTCATATTACTTCTGAATAGGATGTCTACTTCATAAATTGTATGAAAATTGTGGAAATAATGGTTCATATCATTCAAAACACATATGGAAATGGAGGCGCCCTTATATGGGCAGTAATGGAGTCTGGTTGTCATCTAGTGAAAAAGTTTGGTACTGCGCCCAAACAAAATCTTACTGAAAGCTCATTTTTTGAGATATCAACCTAAAATTTGAAACACAACTTGTTCAGATTTTTGGCTTTGATTTTTTTTGCAGTTTTAGAGTCGCCCAGGTTTTGAAAATATATATTTTATATAAAATATGAATAATTAAATTTTTTACATTGTACATTTTCATAAACTCAAACTTCTATAACTTTTTTTCTATTTCACTTTCTTAATTTATTTCACTTCTACAAGAATCTGCCAAATGTCTTCTTTAAAACAAGACCAATCTTACGTCTATATTCCAAAGCATTCTTGAATTACAACCATTTAAGTTCGAAATGTGCATTTTCATGTATATTCAAAAAAAGGGGGGTGGTTAAAGCATGTGACATGTTTAATTAGGATGGACAAAACTGGTTTAATTGAACTCCACAGAGGTGCACCCTGTTGGACAGGATCACCAATTGGACAGTCAAGCCCCCTTAATAATTTTCTTGAGGGAATTCAGGGGTGTATAAATCCCCAAATATTTTTCTCTAGGCCACAACACCCTGACACATTGTGAAAAAATGTCATTTTATTTAAAGTAGACAACAGAGTAATTACACAGCAAGAAAAAATATTTGTAATTGTCATAAGTCAAAATGCACATTAGAGTATAGTGCAGGGGGGAAAGCACCCAGACATGAGAAAAAGGACACTAATGTAAAGCAGACTGCTTTGGTCATTATTCAGAAATATTTGACTGATCAATGTCATGACTGACCAATCAGAATTAAGTATATATGATTAATAATTATCAATATACTGTATGTTTCCAGCTGCAGGCCTCCCAGTGCCTCTAGACATTTCCCCAGCGTTCACCCCATTAGCTACGGTCCTGACAGAACCCTTTAACAAATGCTCCAAGTCCCACAATCACAAAAGAAAAAAGAAAAAAATATTTTTTGAGGTGCGATACATACAGGTGTGTGTGTATATATATACACACACAGTACTGTGCAAATGTCTTAGGCACTTTTGTATTTTCACACACACACAAAAAATGGTTTTAAGCCAATTATTTATATATTTTGCTGTAGTGTGTCAGTAGGGAATATCAAATTTCCAAACATTACTTTTGCAAGCCTTTAATTGTAATAATCCAGTGAGATTTTTGTAAGCACAAGGAGTCTGACAACACCCAGTATGCTCCACACGGAGATCTCATCTCACCATCATTGAGTCTGTCATTACATTAAGATTTATATTAACATATTGTTTATAATGGATTGATTGGGGAATACTAAGAAACCCACTGCTGCTGTGAGTCTCCTTCTCTGAAATGATGCTCTGGTTGGGAGACGGATACTCCACATAATGTATTTTTACTGGTGGCATACAATAATAGTCTTTAATGGGTCTCTTGCTACTTGTTCCACATTTATTAGTAGGTTGGACCGTCAGGTACATGAGGAACCTGGGAAATCTGACCATGGGTTCCAAATGTTGAAAAAAATGGGGCATATACCATGCTGTCTGTCTAATTCCCATTAAAAAGCTGGCTAGTTGTTTCCAACCATAAATATCTTATATCGAATGCTGAGTGTTTAAGATAATCATATTTAAAACCCTTGGTATTCTGAGACAGCCAATATCTGTGATGAACAGTTGATCAAAATACCTGGGTGTAACGTTCTTAAACCTGTTTCAGAATGATTGTGGAGCAAAGGACATTATCTAATGAAATTACAAATCATGAACAAAAAACAGTATTATTAAAATGCTTTTATGAGATTGTACCGTGGATTTATATAGAAAATAAAATGTACTTTTAAATAGCAAGCTATATTTACTACAGTTCAAAATGCACAACTAGCACAGTCTTAATCTTTCGAAGAAACAGATTATCCAGTTAAAAAGCAATGTTGAACATATTGAAAGAAGAAAACATTAGTGCTGTTTAAATCACCAAATTACACATTTATTGAAGGAAAAATGGTTCACAATTTAGAATAATAGAGAGTCATTAATAGATAACTAGAAAGTAATGCAGGACAAATGAGTAGTACTACATTAACCCTTCGGCTATTACTACTAACTAATATTGGAAAACGAATTATAAAGATTTACCAATTAATTATCAATTACAACATTAACATGTGTCTGAAATGTGAGCAATGGCCATGGCCAACCTATATAATAGCATTCGAGTAGCAAGTTATTAGCAGGTAATAAACATGTAACAAACATTTACATGTAAAACATTTATTATTAGTTACAGCTATATGAGGTAACTAATGAGGACTGGTAATAGTTTGTAATGATGTTTCATGCCATCATTACATTATAATATTCCACAGAGAACCCATGTGGAATAAAATAATAATAATAATAATAATAATAAAGAACCTGTATACATTTTTAAACTATTTTAGCTCAATTAAAATGTTGCATTATGAAACCATGGCATTTTTATGGCAACTAGATAGAACTACACCTGGACTATTAATGCTTTTTTGTTTTCCCCCCTTCCTCTTCTTTTATATCGCAGCAGAGACAGCAGCTGCCAAACTCTATTTGATTTGAGCTGTCCCTGTTGAGCAGAGTCCTCTAAAGCAGCCTAACTCATTCCAGTCAACTGAGTGTGTCAGTTACACTTCAAAGTGAAAGCTCCACAATGGCTCATATCTAGTAACCCATAGAAACATTCCAACACACAAAGAGCTTCAAAGAGCTCGGTAGCTGAGATTCCCACTGCACTGCAGCTGCCTGTACGAAAGCATTTGTGTTTTGTTTTTTTTTTGTTTTTTTGAACACACGGAAAATACTATAAATTTTCAAATAATTGACCAGTTTGGCTAAACAGTATGCAAAGAATGAGAATTATTATTATTTTATTTTTTATGCTCATCAAATTTGCCCAAAAGTTGCTCATTTTGAAGTGAGGTTTTAAATACTAATAATGCAGCAAACATATCTATACATTTTAAAAATGCTGTTTGCATATGCAAATGCTGTTACGAAACACATGTACTGTAACATCATGCATATGGAAAAATGCAGAGGTTTTTTTTGTATTTACCTTCACAAACAGGAATATTACACATGATCCTAAACCCCTAAAAAAAGTGCAATATCAACATTTAAAAGTACTAGGCTAGGCGGTCAATCACCTTTCCTATCTTGTCACATGCCAAAGCTCAGAGTGGTTATACTAGACCATCTGACCCCATTCCACAGCTTTCTGCAAAGTGGGATTGAGAAGATGAAATGGGATTTCCAATAAGAGGTTAATAAAGCGATGGAACTCCAGCCTGTGGTCTTTCACGCTGCAGCCCTTTCTCTGAACCAAAAACCGAGCTGAAGAATACCAAATGTTAGTTATGCCTAGCATTTTCATAAGAAGGGGGGGGGAAAAGAGCTCTAAACATACTTAATAATTGCAAAATCACAAAAACACTGCACTTGCTATTCAATATTGCCCCTTGTGTAATCAAAGTCTCTTCCAAAAAAAAAAAAAATTCTATATTCTCCAAATGAATTAACAATGTTAACATGACATTCAAAGAAAGGGGACCATTCCGGCACAGTGAGATGCTAGATAATTATTGTTTGCTTCATGCTGCTGATTATTTAATGATAGTTTACACAGCCACTTGGTCTGAATGTCCTGAACTCCCATAGAGAGAAAACAACGTTTGCTGCAAGACTGATCAAATGCATATCCAAGCTATTGAAGGTTTTTTGGTAAATAACTTAACCCTCTACCGCACATTTCATAGACTGTAAAAAAATATGGACGTAGTGTCCGTGACGTTCTGAAGGCCAAAGTGGGCGGAGCCGGCCGTCGCCATCTTGGCAGCGCATCACCGCGCGTCACTACTAGATAACCAAAAATGGGCAAAGAGACGGTATTAGCTAAGGTGATGTGACAGCTAACAGACAGCAAACAAACGGCTAGTAGTGACAGCAGCGGCAATCCATCTGACACTCAAGCCCCTAATTATGCAGAACTTTAAGGCTTAATATAATTTAAACAGATGAGTTATAAAAAAATCACCCCTCTCAAAATTGTCATGAAGGGCAAAATTAGCTATATAGCCCAAAACCAGTTTTTATACCAGGCTGTAAACATTTTTTTCTGCTGTAAAGTTGGGCATACTAACATGGGGGGTCAATGGGATTGACTCTCTTTTGGAGCCTGTCTCTAGCGGCCAGTCGATGAATTGCAGTTTAACTCACTTCCGTGTTGGATTCAAGAGAGAGACTGGAAGATTGACGCTTGGTTCATTTCCTTGCCACAGTTTCTTTAAGAGAACATTATCGGGGTTTTTTTTTTTTTTTTTTTTTGGGAAAGAGATGACCTTAGTTTAGCCAATAAATGTTTAGTCACAGCCTGTGCTGTTGTGCATTGTGTCTTAATCTTAGTTCATCTACACAATATATTATGTGAATCATTATGTGAATCAAATGCAACAATTAACATCTTGGACAATGTGGCTTCAGCTATAATGTAGTATCTAAAGAATAATAATAACAATAATAATACTAATTTAAAAAAAAAAAACTGATGAAACGTGGTAAATGTGTGATGAGTCAGGCTGTCCCAAGGGACATGGCATTAAGAGAATGGATTTTAATAAGGACAGGATTGGTGTGAAGCTGTGAAGGGTTCATCATGCTACCACCACATTTCCTATAATCTCTCACAGCTACAAGTCAAAGTGTGTATACTCTGCTGAGGTATTACTCAATTTCGGTTTTGGCATGTTTATTAATTTAGAATTATTATTATTAAGTTATTTAGTTAATGATATTAAATGGACAACCATGAAGGTTCCTGGATAAAACTGAGCTAAGTGTTTCGATTAAGGACTCGTGATAGTTCATGGATCAAACAACCTTTTGGCACCTCATCCATGTCATAAGGAACACATTTTTCCCAGAGTAATGATGGCATATAGCCTATGGGTAAAAAAATTGGTGGGTGCGATTTTCTATGAATTCCTATAAAGATCAGGTAAGAATGAAATAAGGTCCTGCTGCATTAACTGCAAATAAATAAATAATATATAAACGATTTATTTATGAGATCATTAATCGTAAGCTATTTAATTATTGTTGTAATTCGTTCCAAATCATGAGAGAAATTCCATTAGCATTTCTTTAGAATTTCTGACAAAAGTATTTGAGTCTATAGCCTACACCAAACTCAACAGACACCGACACATAACGTCAAGTAAGATATAACATGAAAGTGGTCGACATTCCTCAATCGTGATCACACCTGGAGGTTGATTTGTAATAAATTGTTGAGCAACAAGTCAATACTGAATCAAATGAAAAAGAAAAAAAAATAGCCTGGATATGAAGTTGAGATGGTACTTTAGTGTATTAACCTTGTTCGTGATGCTGAGGGGAAAAGGCGCATGCAACCGTTTTGTACAGAAGTGTCGCCTACCTGAGTCCGAATACCTCGGCCTGGCAAGGTCTCGAAAATAATAAATGAAATCCAAACAGTTTTCGTTCTGAACCTCCCCTTTAGAACAAAGATCCGATAAGAGTTCTAGTGCTTTTTGACAAATCTCGTCCTCTCTGTCGACAGGCATTTCCCACCAGCATCCTTCTGGATTGTGGAGCTTCTAAAGCGCAATCCCCTCACAGAGAAACATCATCTCACGGACGGCATCCCACTCTCGCGGACAAACCGAGCTCTTTTTAACGTGGAAAGTGTTTTTTTTAGTATTATTATTCCCTTTCAGAATTCACTCGACACGGTGAAGTTCTCGCTTGACGTGAAGCCCAGTCGCTACGCAAATGGAGTCAGAAAACAAAAGCCACCGGTTGAATCTTCACACACACTCGCGCGAACTGAAGTGTGAAGCTCAATGTCCACGCTCGCCGTGGTGCTGAAGACAGTGCGCATGCTCACAGCCTGTTCGAAACGTAATGTGTCTTGGTCCTTTAAATAGTCGTTTTACAGCTGAAGCTGGGTAAGAATCAGTTTCTACCACAAAACCAGTAAGTACAATTTTCATACAGCAAAACCTGTATGAACACTAACTAGAGTAACTTGTGATACTTGGTACGCAAATTGTCAAGATACGATTTTAGTTTGGAACATCTTAAAGCCAATGAAAAGCCTGCATATGTTCTATCTTGGTGGTGTTTTGCACAAATAGACTAAGAAACTGACCTGGTAGATTGCCTGATGGGAATTTGTTCAATATTAGCTATGCCATACAGAGGTGGAACAAATATCAATTACATTACTTATTTAAAGGATGAATATTGCAGATAACTGAAACAGATACACAGATAATTAATGGTCAGTTAATCAGTGTTTGTTAGAACCTTATAAAGCAATGTAAGGTAATCTCTAATAAGGCAGAATATGAGCAGCAAAAATTATTAACCAATTTGTTAATCTCTTTAAACATGTAAGATATCAATTAGTGTGTGTGTGTGTTTCTTTTATTTATTTGTTTAACTTTTTTTTAAATCTGCAGAATTAAATTTATCAAATAAAACCACACATGCAATTCTTAGCCTTTATTATATTTGAGACATTATTAATACTGCACCATAGTCAAACTTTTTTTCATCACACTTAGTCAACGATTTCCAAGAGACTGTCTCAGTGACAGCGGGGTATATGCCCAATGTGAACAGAAGTGCACAGACCTTGTCGAGCACCAATAATGAAGATGCATGCACCTTGTTGGAGAGCACTGCCTGATCATTCATCACATGCTCCTTCAGAGGAGAATGCACCATTTTTGATACTGAGGGCATCTTGGTAGACAAAGGTGAATAAACAGCCTGTTCTCATCCTTTGGCGTCATACATCTGACGCTTTGGACATTTCGTTGAAATCTTACGCACACATGGCATCCTTTAGCATCAATATGAGACGCAGAACCCAAGGCGTCATACAGGTGACGCTCGTCTAAATCCAACGCACATGGCATCGTTTAGCGTCGATATGAGACGCAGAACCCAAGGCGTCATACAGGTGACGCTCGTCTAAATCCAACGCACATGGCATCGTTTAGCTTTAATATGAGACCCAGATCCCAAGGTGTCATAACCGTACCCTACCCCAGACCTAAACCTACCTATAACAGTGCGTGTTATATTGACGCTAAAGGATGCCATGTGCGTAAGATTTCGACGAAATGTCATATAGCGTCACCTATATGACGCCAAAGGATGAGAATGCGTTGGAATAAACTACAAAATGTGGAATAAAAAACAATAAGAACAAACTAAATAGTGAATGTTGTTGATTCCACTGTCCGCATAATGTTCACCCTAAGCAGAAACCTAACATGACTGAAACTTTTTGCCCTGGCATGTGCTATAGTAAACATGATTCATAAGTCATTAGGCAACCTCTGTGGCCAGACAGTTTAAAAGGGGCAAATACAAAACTACTTTGCACTAAACTTCATCGAAACTGCCAAATTAAAACTTCACTCTTGTTTTGTTTTAAAACATTATTCTGGTGCTTTTTCATTCTCGTGTCGTTCTAACCCCAACAATCTCCGATATTTTCAATTTCGACTGCAGTACCTATTTCGACCACTAGCTGTCATTCTTACACACTGCACCTTTAAGGAGATGCTCGACACAGAGAATGCCAATAAACTGTTTTTTTTTTTTTAATAAACTAGCCGGACACAGGTATAATCACATGAACCACTCTTGGAAAAAAGATGGATTCCAACAATTCACCGAATAGAACACAGAGAATATATACACAGAGTCAACAAAGAATCTAAACGAGACACTGGTGTGGTGACAATAAATATTTACTAAGGAAATTAACTAGAACATGGAGACCGCTAAACAGACAAAGGACAAAAACACAATGGCCCTAATTTACTAAATTAACGTACAACAGAAAATTGGGAGTACAGTCATTTCCATGCAAAACTTTCCATTTATCAATATATGAGCGGTAGCTACGATCAAATCTCACATCAGGGGCCCGTTTCAATAAGGAGGTTCAACCAACTCTGAGTTAAAACTTGAACTCTGAGTTGACTTACTCTGAGATGGGAAACTCTGAGTTTTCAGTTACAGAACAGCTGAAGTGAGTAAGTTCAATCAACTCTAAGTTGACTGACTCTGAGTTAAGCGCGTGCAGTACGCAATTTTTTTTTTTTTTAAGCAACACGGCAGCAGCGGTGATCGAGAGAGTTAGTTTGGGAGAAAATAGTTGCTCGAATCAATGCGTAAGTTTACATTTTAATACAGTGTTGGGTGTAATTACCAAGTAATCTAAGGTAAAGGGATTACTCTTAATTCTTCTGTAATATAAAGTAAAATATGATGTCATTGCATTAAATACTGCATAGACTATAGAACAATTCTGTTTAAAACAATAGTGGATTTAACATAACATTTTTAAAAGGTATATTTTTAATGTAACCTTCACTCTCTACACACTTTGGTCAATTCAAGAATAATTCATGCAATTGTATATTGTTCATTTGAAAGCATTAAAAGTGCAGTTGTGTCTCTTTTTGTATTGTTCAAGTGGTTGAGGTTGATATGGGATTTAGAAAGTAATTAGACCAATACTTTCTAGAGATAGTAATTATTACATTAATCTAATTACACTGTTGAAGATGTAATTTGTAGTTAGTAATTAATAACTATTTTAGAGTAACTTACCCAACTGTTATAATATCAGAGGTGAAACTGGAAGAACAGTATGTTATTCAACCTAATTTTAATTTTTATGTAGCCTATAGGTGCAATCCTGCAGGCATTAAAAGAACATGACAGCAGCTGAAAATGAAATATAAAAACATAATTCAATCAGGTAAGCCTTGAGCATATCATGGATGTAGGGTACCTGACTTTACAAACATTTGACATATTAAATAACTAAATAGCATCCAGTGTTTAGCAGTGCAAAAGCATTTTTGACATAGGTCTAATTAACACAATTAAATGTTCATTCTCATTTGACTTCTACTCAGCCAACAGAAAGAAGGAAGAGGCTCACAAAGATGGAGATGAAGATGCAGATGAGATGGAGATGAAGATACAGAGGAGATGGAGATGCAGAGGAGATGGAGATGAAGATGCAGAGGAGATGGAGATGAAGATGCAGAGGAGATGGAGATGGCCCTGAGCCTGAATACTAGAAGGCCAATGGCTGAGGGAATTCCTGGAGGGACTTCATCAGAGCCAGCCACTCCCCAAGATTCAAGTGCCTTCATAAAATCTATAAGAGGTCTACATATGTGTTATTTTTTATATAGGCTGTTTTTGATATTTCCATATATTTTACTTTGGGTTGGGTTTTTTGTTGCTCCCAACCGATTCTGATGGTAATATCTGTCTTTTGGAGTCTCCTGTCCCAACAGAACCCCAGGCAGTTGTAAATACTCAATACACCAAAAATTATGACAAATAGTATTATAAAATGTGCTCAATCAAATGCTCATCTTCACAGGACGATGGGGATGAAGAAACAGTTTCTGCTGCCACAGAGAGGCCTACTAGGAAATGTTAATATTGTCTACACATCAAACAATCTACACATTCAAATTTCTTCACATTATTTATGTAGAGTAGGCTATAGAATCTAAGTTTAATTCTAAGTATAAACGGATATTCTTATCTCTCCCCCTGTCCCCAGAGTGTGGAAGAACAGCAGGAGAAGGTCCATCAACTTCTGGTACACAGATAAACACAGTTCAGTGATTTTCAGTGAATGCCACAGTTTAATTCTGTAGAATGTGTTTAGAACTACATGATGTAACTCTAATCTACTGTATTTTCAGTTGCCAGTTAAGAAGTTATATTGGCTTCATCTTGTAAAAAAAAAAAAAAAAAAAAAAAAAAAAACAGCAATTAATAAATGTACCGAAAGAATGAATGAGGTGTTTAAACACCGCTTCCTCTTTAAAAAAGGGGAGGAGACCGAAATAAACTCTGGGTTTACGGAAGCAAACCTGCTCCTGACCAGGTTAGGTTCACAGAGTAAGTTACCATGGTAACTGACTCTGAGTATAAGTTACCTCTCTTTCAGAAACGGGCTTGACTTACCCTGCTTTCTCAGGTTTGACTTACCTCCCATTCTGAAACAGAAAACCCAGAGTTTCCCTCATTTCAGGGTTAACATACTCAGAGTTTTCACTTAACCTCCTTTCTGAAACAGGCCCCAGAGCACTGATGGGGACACTATACTGTCAAAAAGTGCTGTCCTTCATATGAGAAGTTAAACCGAGATCTTAACTCTCTATGGTCATTAAAAATCCCAGGATGTCCATCGAAAAAAAAGAGTAGGGGTTTAACCCCAGCATCCTGGCCAAATTTGGCCATTGGCCTCTATCCATCCTCATAATCATCCCCATATATAGTGATTGGCTTCATCACTCTGTCTCCTCTCCTCCAATAAACTGATGTGTGCTGGGCGTTCTGGTGCACTATGGCTGCCGTTACATCATTCAGGTGGATTCTGCACATTAGTGGTTGTTAAGGAGATTCCCCAGTTCCATCCTCTGGTTCTTCACCAGGAATAAGTTCCTAAAGAAAAGAGCAAAAGGCGAGTGTGGCTGCCCGAGCCCCACCTCTGAGGAGCAGGTGGCAGAGGTGCAAAAAGGGAGGAAGCCACAAACAGATCTGAGGCATGTGATCGTGGCAAAAAAAGGAGAGCGGCTGAGTAGGTGCTAGAAATAAAAAGAAAGTGGTCAGCTCTCATTCCCTTTTCTTCCCTTGATGGTGTTCCAATGAGGTGGCACAGACTGAGGTCTGGCGTACGCATTATTCTGAATGGGGTAGTGCTCGAAGTGGGGCGGTACTCACCGGTACGCAGTACCGGCACTTCTACATTTTACTCCTAAGCGTACCTGCACTTTTTCTTGCGTACCGCTACTTCTCGCATGCAGCCGGTACT